AAAAAAACAAATTTATACATCGGTGATATTTAAAATGTAAAACAATTTTAATGCTCAAAGTTTAATAAATATTTTAACAACTAAAATATATATATATATTCAGATTCATACATGTAAATTTTAATGGGAAAATTGTATATAATAGCAAACTATTAATTCAAATTAAATGTTATAACCGCAATTTGATTTAATTGTAATCCATAGCAAACTGTTGCCATTCGTCTCTCTCCTTAGGTTTCTCGCTCGCCACTCTCGCTAGTCTCTCCCTCTCTGTAACGACTCGGAAAATGATAGGTTAAACTAGAGCCTAAACGTGAGGGTTAATGTCAAGAGTTAAGGGGTTTAGTGGTTACGCGTTAAAGTACGTACAAGACCACGTAGTGTAAAAGATCTTCTAAGGGTTGCAAGGTCAAGAGCCAAGCCAAAGCCAAAGGCCAAGACTGCCCCAAGCTTGGCCAAACACTGCCCAAGGACCACGACCAGTTTCATGACCAGTGGTCTTGACCACGGTCCGTGAAAGGGCTTGTGAAGGTCCCTTAGGCATGTGTGAGATATGGCATTGAGTCCTAGCCACTGCCTAGGAACCACGACCTCCACCACGACTCGTGGTCTTGACCACAGATCGTGGGAGGCCTCATGGTCTTGCCTTGGCATTGTGGGAGCCAATGGTGCATAAGACAACCTTTAGCCACTGCCTACCATCACCACGAGGGTCTTCACGACCAATGGTGGCTATCACGAGCCGTGGTGCCACCCGTGGTTGGCAAAATAGTGTGCTTGCTAGGCTGCCCAAGGGAGGCTCTCCTTCACGAGCTACTTCACGACTCGTGGTGAAGACCACAGACCGTGGGAAGGCTCGTGGGATTGCCTTCACTACTTGGGAGCCTTGCCAAATTGAGGAGGCTACTGCCTAGGGGACCACGGGCACCACCTCGAACTGTGGTCCCCCCTTCACGATCCGTCAAGTTGGGCGTGGTCCCTGACGGTCCTGCCCAAATTAGGGAGTTTTAGGTAATTTACCTTTTATTAATTATTATGTGGGGTTGCTTTTAATATTTTTATATCACTAGTATATATAGTTTTACGTCTTTAAACAAGTCATTTACTCCTTATTTCCCCAAATCAAAACAAAAGTTCTTCTTCCTCCCAAAATTCTTTCTCTAAACTCCAGGAAGAAGAAGGGAGCCATTGAAGCTAGGGTTTGTGGATTCAAGGGGTTTCTTCCTCAAATTTCATGGGGAATCTATAGTATGGTAGTCCTAGTTTAACTTTTCATTCAAGGAGCAAATTCCGAAGGTGATTTCAAGTATAAAAAACCTAGGGTTTTACTCAATCTCATGGGCTCTTTCATCAAACGTTTTTAAATGGTTTCTAATGACATATTATAATTGTATTAGTGTTTAATTGATGATTTATGATGAAAATACTTAATGAACCCATGATTTCTCTCAATTCCTAAGTTGTGCCTTTATGAAGTGGGTTTATTGATCATGAATAAATGTTGATGGATTATGCCTAAATTTATTTAGATTGTTAAATTTTATTATTATTCATGCCTAATCGTATTAATTAAGGGTTTGTTGGTGACTTGTGAACATGACCTTGAAAGGACAAGTTATGACCAAATTACATGTTAAAGTAGAATTGTGCTTGAGCCATTGATCCACTTGAAAGGTGGAGGTGTTTAATTACTATGTATGATTATGAAGTGAAGTATATGAGTGTGATTACTATGGATGTATTATGATCATGTTTAGAAGGCAATTGTATGAATGATGATGATTATGTGAAAGGTTATTCTCGCATGTTCACACACTCATGAATGAATAAGGAATGAAGTTCTATGATTATGTAAATGATGAAATACTATTTGAAAGGCTATTCTCAATTGTACTCTAATGAATGATAATGACATGTTGTGAAAGGACTTTCTCACAATATGAGATTCATAGGTGAAAGGTTATTCTCATCTTTAAATCCATGAGATTTCCAATGAATGAATGTTGGATTTGAGATAGATACTCATCCATGAGTTGAGGTGGGGTATCTAGAAACAATCTCTCATCCCATAATAATAAATGTTAAGTACTCCATGGGGAATAATGTTAAGCACCGAGAGGATATGAAATGAGATGGATGCTCATCCGGGAGTTGAGATATGGTATCTAGTAACAATCTCTGGAGATGGATGCTCATCTGTGAGTTGAGGCAGAGTATCTAGTAACAATCTGCATATCCCATAACTATGTGCCCACATAGGTCTAGCTAGTGGATCCACTTAAGCTATAAAACAAGGGTCCTACCTTAGGCAAGTAGGAATCCCTTTATCCGGTAAGGGTGACACCGGGATTCCATGAATTGCTCACATGGTCTATATTGGTTAAAGCTTACCCCCCCCCCCCTAAAGAATGTTAATGAACTATGGCTTCTTAAGAATTCACTACTTAGTGTGGGTGGTGGTATGGGACACCATCTATGCATTGCACAAGTAGGCTTTGAGAGAGGTTGTGGTGTGTTCTTTATAATGTTAAGTGTAATGAATATGCTCTTATGATGATGTTAATGAAGAATGTTGATCTAATGTTTAAATGAATGAAAGTGCTTTTAATGAAATGAAGCTAATGAAGTATGTTGACTTATATACTTGAATGAGATGATTCATGCTATACTTGGATTGTATTATGAGTTACATCCTTGTCATGGCTTAATGGATATTAATGTGCCTTGCCTATGGTGACTTCAAATGAGTACTTAGTGTGAGTAGTAGTATGGGATGCTACTTGCACATTGCACAAGTATGACTTAGGGTTGTCTTAGGTGATGGTCCTTATGTGATGATATGACTTATGTAATGTTTATGTCTCTTATGTATGAGTATTGTGTAAGGATGGAAAGGTTGAATGGTAAGTTCACTTTTGGTGACCTTAAGGTGGTACTTTGGTGTGGATGGTGGTATGGGACGATATCCATATATTGCACAAAGTATAGATTGAGGGTTACTTGAGGTGAAGGCTAAATGTGAAGGTAAAAGTTTATATGTTGATTATGTTCAAATGTGGTTAAATGACTTGTATGTTGGTTTTGGTTGAATATTATGCCTCTTATGCTTATGTTCATGAAGTTTTCTCAAAATGGCATATATCATGACTTTCAAACAAAATGTCAGTTTTAAGCATGTTTTTGGATATCATACTTAGTACTTAATTGTGCTAACACATTCTTCTTCATGTTTTACTACAAGTGTGGGTTTCGGCATCTGAGTGGTTTTCTCTAGTGAAGCTTGGATTTGAGTTCCCCAAGACTTTTGGTATGTCCTCATAGATCGAGGACAAGTACTTTTAATGTTCCTTTTAATTCATGTAATAGACTATTGTTAAGACTTCTATTGTAAAGGGCCATGATCCTATTTTGTTTCAAGTATGTTGTTTAGATGGCGATGTGAGACGATAGACTTTCGCTTGCTTTTAATGTTTTCAATTTTTGGTTTTATAAAGAAAAGTTTTAAATTCCACACTATTTCTAAGTATCTTATGTTATGAATTCTAAGAGGCTTGTATGAGACTCCATTGGGGTCGAGTACGTCGTGTCGTATTCGGGGTCTAGACGCGGGTCGTGACACTCGCCTCTCTCGCCTTTATACAAACACAAATGTGTAAAATGTATTTGTGTTTGTATAAAGCGAGAGAATACATATATTTTCGTCTTATATACTTATAATTATACAAATACAGATCTTCTTCTACCCAGTTCTCTTTTGTCTTTCTCTTTTTCTCGCTTTATACAACCACAGATTATACAAATTACAATGTATAATTTGTGTTGTATAAAGCGAGAGAGAGAGGAAAATTTGATATACAAATGTTTTATTTCGATTCAATTGTATACAAATTTAAATTTTATGCAGATATACAAATAGTACATAAAATTGAATTGAGAGGCTACCAACGATTTATACAAACGAGACGCTGCTAGCGATTTATACAAATGACTTGCCAGCGAAATTATACAAATCTGAAGCATTTCCAGCGAGTTATACAATCTGATGCTCTTGCTATGAAGCGCAATTATATAAACTATAACTATAACATACAAATATGATTTTTATGTTTGCTATATGTGAAAGTTGCTCAATTTTAATTTAATGCACTATTTAAAATTGAGTAAATTTTAGGTTTAGCAAACATAAAAATCATATTTGTATGATATAGCTATAGTTTGTATAATTGCACTCCATAGCAAACTTTATATTTGCTATATATGGAGCATTAGATTTGTGCAAATCATTGACAACCTCTCATTTGTATAAATTGCTGGCAGCCTATCATTTGTATAAATCGATGACAGTTTCTCGTTTGTATAAATCGTTGGATACCTCTCAATTCAATTGTATATATGTAACTACTATGTATATGTATCAATGATTATGTTTGAATATATCCGTTAAAACATTTGTATATTAAATCTTTCTCTCTATAAAACACAAATTAATTTGTATAATTTGTGTTTGTATAAAGCGAAAGGCAAAAGAGAACTGGTAGGGGAAGATTTGTATTTGTATAATTATAAATGTATAGAACGAAAATATATGTATTTGTATATACAGTTTTCTCTCACTTTATACAAACACAAACGCAATTTACACATTTATGTTTGTATAAAGTGAAAGAGACTAGGGAGAGTGACGAGCGAGATTCGCTGGGGAGAGAGGCGAATGACAACTTAAAGCAAGAGATTTTATTTTATCCTTAAGGATAGTAGGGGGTGAATCAACTGTTTGCTACGAGTTACAATTAAATAAAATGTTTATAGCATTAAATTTGAATTAATAGTTTGCTATTTTATAAAAAAAAAATTGTTAAAATGAGCAAATTTCAGGTTCTTAGAAATAATGGAGGAACCAAATTAACACAAATTTGAAAAGGGGAAGAAAACAAAAAGAAGACCCAATTTCTCACTTGATCTCTTAGGTTTACTTAACGAAGAAACAAATGAAGGTGGTAATGCGGCGGTGGGTGGTGTTGGCAACAATAGTGTTATTGTCATGCTGCAGCGGTAGCATGTGCTTGGCACCAATCTTCCGAATCGCTCTTGGATCGTGCGCCAACCAAAGCGCTCCCCAGGTTTGTTTGTTTGTTTGTCTGTTTGGTTTAAATTTCTCCTTGATTCATTTTCTCTGGCAGCCTATATGGGATGCAATTATCCGTTTTGATCCTCAAGTCTTCATCTGGATGGACGACAACATCTATGGAGATATAAGACGCCCTTTCAAGCTTTTCGGCAAGGAGATGACAATTGGGCCGTGGAACAATGTTCCTAGGTTTTACCCTTCTTCTGAATAGGAAATGAAGTCCCGATATCAACAAGCTAAGACCATTCCTGGATATTCTTCTCTCAGACACAAAACTAAAGTGCTTTCCTACTCCCTATATATAGAGCAACATTTCTATCTTAATTAATTATCTCTAATTAATATAATCCACTTCTTATCAGGTTATTGGCACGTGGGATGACCATGATTATGGATTAAATGATGCAGGAAAATAATTTGAGGGCAAGATCACTAACCAAAGGCTTTTACTTGATTTCTGGATGAACCCCTAGGAAGTACTCGGTAAGCAATCTCTCAATCCTCTTTCCTTCTTGTATAAGATCTATATACGTATTAATTTACCTTATTATCCAACTTCCCATGTTTTGGTTTTTTTGGGGAAATTTAAAGTAGAAGTTGATCTTTAATTGACATAAACCTTTTATAACAAGATGATGTTCTTTTTCATTAGCTTGATTCCTCATTTCTTCCTTGGGGTAGCTACTTGCCGCTCCCACCTAATGGAACTTAAGCTTATTGTGCTTCTTTGAAATAGATTTTAGCAGTCACTTTTCACCATTCTTCTTTCACTAGGTGCAAACAAGCTGGTGTTTATGCATCATACATATTTGGTCATATGGGTAAATATGTTAAGGTACCCTTCAGTTCTTTTGAAATTTAAACATTTGGTCCTTCATGTCAATGTGAAGTTTCATAGATGAGATTCTTCTTATTATTACTTAAATAATTGCAATCATTACCATCAACAGACTAAATTTTATTTGCCTCCATTTCTCTTTCGAAAACTATCTTGTATAGAAGTTTGGACTAGTGACCACCTTCAGTACCGTTTTGATCTAATGGATAGTTTTCTCTAGGTCATTCTCTTGGATACAAGATATCACAGAGATCATTTGTCTAGTGATGGAAATATCTTAGGAGATGCACAATGAATGTGGTTGGAGAGGGAGTTGAAAGGTCCTCCTACAACCATTACTATTATCGTATCATCTATTCAGGTATCAAATATGTTTTCTCCTTGACGTTTGTATAAGTCATTCATTTATTCTAGGGAACATATGGCTTGCACTTGACGCTATATTTATAGTTATCAAGGTCAAATGTGAATCATTGCTATTATAATTTGCTGGGTTTTGAAACCATAAGTCTACGATGTGTATTAATTCAGTATATGTAAGTGATAAGTCCTACCTTTTAGTTGATAGTAACTCAGGATACCTCTAATCTAGTTTAATATGAAAGGATCCTCCCTTCTAATTACAGATAATTATCCAATTCCTAATTTTAAATATCACATTTAGTAGTTCTTGTTCTATAGGACACTGTTGTAACTTCCTCCCTGTATTTAGGTTATATTTAGATAAGTCTTATCCTTTTCTGAGTTTACCTCCTTGCTATAGGAGTTCTATAAAATCTATTTATACTCGAAGTACAATCAATAAAGTATCTTTCTAACTTCATTCTATTGCTAGCCATATACTTTATCTGGTATCAGAACCAATTAACTCTTGTGAATATTTTTTTATCGATAAGCCTTCCCACCCTTCCCACCAAGATGGGTCAACAGTCAATACCAACTCAACAATTGTTCAGTTTGATCTTGTCACCTAGTTACCAATCATATTAAATTGGTAGCCAATATTTTCCCCTTAGGAAAGCTTAAGTGTCCATTATTATGTGTGGAAACCTTTATAACCATCTCGATGGTTCTCTCCCTGCCCTACTTAAACAATGACTTAAAAGTAATCAAGACGTCAAAATATTGAATTTGTTTCATGGTATCGCCAAGATCAACCAACTCAAAACACTATCTTGACCTCGGTTGATCCTACAATTGTTGTTACAGTTGCAACTTGTCACGACCCGATTTCTCGAGTCATGATGGCACCTACTATACCCTACCAGTAGGTAAGCCAACCCGTAACCCAGAACATCAAGCAATGAGCAAAAGGGCAGAAACTAGCAAAAACAATAATCTAAACAAGGATAACAAGGAGAAAGCAACCCAAAATAAATATATACAGAAATCCCTCCCAGAACCTGGAAGTCACTAGTACAGAGCTATCTAATAAAGAGTACAAGTCCCAAAAGTGGACCACAACAGAGCGTGTCTCAAAGGCAACAAGACTAGCTAAAACAAAAGAAGGAGACAGAACAAACCCCAAAACGCCAAGTGCTCGCCCTCGTCTCCGAATCACAACTGCAAAAGAAGGCTGGAACTAATCACCGCTGGTAACTGGTACTGGGACCTGCATCACGAAATAGATGCAGAGCGTAGCATGAGTACCAACACAACAGGTACTCAGTAGGCATCAAAGGCCGACTGAGCAAAAAGGGTAAAAACAATAAGAAATGATAGAATCTAGACACAGAGAGGTCAAAGCGGATAAGAAAAGAAAGCACACGAGCATACCAGAAACAAACTAAGTACAACTAAACTAAACCTAACTGGACCCCATATGCCCAGAAGGTACACTCGTGCGCAAGCTCAAAT